ACGTTATACTTCTACAAAGCAGAATAGAAAAAAAGTTCATAGTTCTTTTCTTTTACTTCCAGTATGTGTAAATGTGTTTACCGTATATATGAATGGAAAACTCGCAAATTTTGTCATTTCCTGATTCATCTCTCGCTGTCAGGAATACGCGCGTTGTACCAATCACGAATTGTGAACCATTAACAATGTTCCACCAAGAAGTAATAACACCAAGACTGTTATCAAACAACACAACATCATTCCACGTCGTCTCTCTCGTAGGCATACTGTGATCTGTCGGCAGTGATATGTTATCCGGACAGTTTGATATAACTGGCGGTTCATTATCTTTAAAAAAAAAAAATCATTTAAACTCTGCAAGTAAACTGTTGTTCTCTATATTTATTTCATTTTCATTATTCTATTCCTTTTTCAGTAGCTGATCAATTGAGAGTTGTAAAGCTCTATTACAACGACCACTTGATTCGTCATCTTCCATACCGTACCTCCAGAATTCCTGTCTTTGTCTAAAATAAACTTCCATTGAAAATAATTTCTAATTCTTAAACTTCTTAATAAGTACTTTAATTTATCTGCCTAAATAGGCCTACCTTATTTGTTTAAAAGATTCAAAAGACTATATACAGATGCTGCATTATTTGCAACGTACCGTACTGTCATAAATGTTATACTATATTGTTTCTTTATTCCTATTTTTATACTGCACTATGTCTTATTTATTATGTCTTTCAAATATGGTATAAGTTATAGCCTAATGTATCAAATTGTTATCATCATTACAACCTTAAATTTTGTAAATGGAAATTATAACGAAAACAAATAAATAAAAGAACGAACATACTTCATCGTAATAGCTAACTACCATAATCTTTATTTTGATGAACGTCTGTGTTAAAATAAATCAGAGGAGGCCTATGTCCAGCATAATTATGAAATAAATGAATAACGTACCAATAATTTCAATAAGGAAGGAACAGGTTTCGTTTGGGTTTCTGTCTTCGTCTGTCGCTTTGTACAATACTGTTGTAACGCCGATGATAAAATAATCTCCAGGATTGAAATTTGATACCACGTGTGGTTGATTCCCGCTATTATCTTCGGCTATTGGAACCTGCCATACAACAGAATGGGTTCGCTCCCCTGGATCTGAATTGTTTGATATGTCATCGGGGCAGTAGGTGAAGAATGGAGATTCAGCATCTAAAAGTATAAGTTATTGCTTCTTAAGAAACATAACCAATCTTAGTCATTGTTAAGTCAAAATGCAATGATAATAGGTATGTGCAGAGTTTAGCATCATATCAAATGAGAAAGAGTAGGCCTACTTTGGCAAATGGGCCAAGATCATTATATCGATAGCATAATCAGCGCTAATGAAAATTACTTGACGAAATTGTAAGTGTTACTTTAGTGGGCACTACTTCATATACTTTAGGTAATGTGCACCATTTTAAACTAAAGATAGTGTTTTGATGTCAATTTTTTAAAATAATAAGACGTCACTCTTATATGGTAGTGTGGCGATACTGAATGTTTATAATTTTACTACTGACTCGCCTTCCACTGTCACTACAAATGAGCAATTCTCAACGTTGTCAAACGTGTCAGTCCCATTGTAATGGACTACGGTCGTTCCAAGTGGGAACACCGACCCGGACGGAATAGAAGCCGTTAGTGAAACTCCATGACCATTGTTGTCGATAGCACCTGGATTTGACCACTCTACAACGGCAGACGGTAGACGGAAATCGTTTGTTACTGTTAAATCTGGACAGGTTAACACAGGCGGTTCATCATCTGTGAAAATAAACAAAAAAACTATGGGATTAATAATGATAT